TGGGGTTACCAGGAGTCTAGCATTTGCTGAGGCTGGGATGCTCTGGGATGTACATATCTCCACACTAAAGGCAATGATGGCAACCAGAAGAGCCACAGGAGTGTTCAAACAGACACCCAATGAGGAGTGAATCCCGAAGAGGGAAGTGATGCTTTGGAGAAGAATCTTTTAGGGCAGGAGTTGATTCCTGTATGCTTTGACTGTTCAGTGATGCCTGATTGTGTGTTGTGACCCATGGGTGAGAAGATGCCTCGATGAATCACCTGAGTGGGGAGAGCCTAATTCAAGATGAGTTTCGAAGTGTCTGGACTGAGAGGCTCAGCACCAAGTGCTGCAGTTTCCTGATGGCTGGTCTGGTCTCAGTTCTTGTTCAAACTAGTTTTCTTGATTGCTTTGCAGTGGGTTTTTCCACTCATAGCGCGCAAAAAGCTTGAAGGCTGCAAAGGCTGCATGAAGTCATAGGATCATTTGAGTTGAAAGGGACTCTTAAAGGTCATCTAGTCCAACTCCTCTGCAATGAACAGGAACACCTACAGCTCAGTCAGTTTACTCAGAGCTCCATCCAGCTTGATCTTGAATGTCCCCAGGAATTGGACATCTACCATCTCTTTGGGCAACCTGTTCCATTCGTCACCCTGTTGTAGGAAAAACATCTTCCTTATATCCAATCTAAATCTCCTGTGTTAGTTTGAAACAGTTTCTTCTTGTCCTATCACAATAGACTCTGCTGAAGAGTCTAAAATGACACATGATGGTGGTTAGCTTTGAGAGGTCATTCACTAGCAGTGGTTTTGGATCTCCCCTATATTCCACTTCAGTCAAATCAAATGGGAAAAGAGATGCAGATTCCTTACATCCTGATGTACCTAGGGGTGAAGCCAGTGTTACTGAACATTGGAGGAGGCAGGAGCCAGATCCATGGGAAAACAGTGGTATTTTTACTTTTCTACCTTTCAGGCCTCCACAGTACGCTGACATAATTGATGCACATAAATTATCCAGATAGGGAATTTCAAGGATATAAGGTTTTTTTTTTTTTTTTTTTTTTTTTTGCATCCTCTGTTCTGATAGCTTGCCTTTTTAGTATGTCAGTCCCTATTAATTAACCTTGTTTTGGAGGAAGTTCAATTTTTAAGGAAACACTCCAAGGAATGATCCTGGGGTGCTGGATTTGTGTGTGCATGGGGTACCTCTCCCTGCAGGAGCTTATTCCAAAGGAAAGAAAAAGAAGGAGGAGTGTACAGGAGATGAGAACTGTAGAATGATGTGACAAAGCCAACGCAGGCAGTTACTCAAAGAGCCAATATTGATAGAGATGACAAGGCAGCATGTTTGAGATAATGATGCAGCTAAGACTGACAGCTGTGGGAAGAAGCAAATAAAAGAGATTCTTTTTTTTATATTGGCTGCCTTTTTCCGCCTGTGAATTAGAAGTCTGGATGTGAATTAAGTACCAGGGGAATGGCAGCTGCGTGGGGAAAGCATCAGACCGGTTTGAACCACCAAATGAACAAGGGATCTGAAAGCAGGGGATTTTTTCTTCCTTCTTTCAATTGCATTTCATAATCAATTTCTTTTTGCTGCTGCTCCATTGTAGTGTCACCTTCAGTGGTTTTTGCTGCTTTTTTCCATTCCCTAGTTGACCGGCTGGCCACGTGGCTCGTGGTCCTTAATTTGAGATGCACAGACATACAGAAATGAGGGAATTGCACTGTATGTTGCTTGTTTAGTGTTGTTGATGCAGGCCAGTCAGCATGCTGCTGTTAACAGTATGGCTGGAGACTTTGTTTGAAGTGTTAATTAGCAGCAATTAGTAGGGTATTAGTTTCTCCCTTCTTATGTCAGCTTTCTTTGCTAGTTAGTTGTATCAACAGGAGGCTCAGTTATCTGGAAGCTTATGTTTGCATAGGAGTTTTGTCAACTTGTTGCGTTGTGTTGGGTAGATACATAAGTGCTTTCCTACCATAAATTGTGAAGTAGATATTCCGAATATAAGAAGACATGTAGCTCAAAACAGAGTTGTCCATAGCTGAAACAGCAAACCTGAGATCATAGAATCACCAAAGTTGGAAAAGGTCTACAAGATCATCCAGTCCAGCCATCCACCTATCGCCAGTAGCTCTCACTAAATCATATCCCAGCACAGCATCTAGACGTTCCCTGAACACCTCCAGGGTCGGTGACTCCACCACCTCCCTGGGCAGCCCATTCCAGCTCCTGATCACTCTTTTGGAAAAGTAGTATTTCCTAACATCCAGCCTCAATCTCCCCTGGGACAACCTGAGGCCGTTCCCTCATGTCCAGTCGCTAGTTACACGAGAGCAGAGGCTGACCCCCAGCTCACTGCCACCTGCAGGTGGTGCGTTTCTCCCTTTCAGTCTAGGTGGACTTGAGCTCAGTCCCAGATGTGGCTGTTGGCAGGTTCATGCTGATTTTCTCATCTATTTCCCATTTCTGACAGGCAATTCCCAGTGTCAGGGGAATGGGCCCTTCTTGTGGATCTGGTGGCAGATCTGGGGTTTAGCTGTGTAAGAAATGGCATTGTTTGAATGGACATCTTCAGCTTCCTATCAGTTTGTGGCTTTACCCAGTCAGCATTGTGGGAACATTACAAAGTTTAACTAAGATACCAAGTAGCTTATCTTTCCTCTCAGTGTTTGTATTGTTGCCCCTGAGTTTTGTTTAAAATGATAAATTGTTGTGCTTAAATTGATTTCTCTCTGTTCTTTAAAATTCTTTTTCAGTAGATCCAGATTACCATTCATTGCTGTTTGATCTTAGACAGAAATGAAAACAGCTAAATCTCCCCAAAACTTAGCTTCAGCTGACACTTCCACTTCTCTCACATTGAAGAAGCTTGACGTAAAATCCTGATGTTTAGCCAATTAATTATTAATGGTGTTTATTGAAGTATTCTCTACTGAAAGATAAGTGTGTTTTTGACTTACAATAGACTGATTGCTTCTAGTTTCATGGTTAATTGAAAGTTAATATACACTGAGGATGAGTGATACATATGTTATTAGGTTATCTGCACTTTAAGTACTCATAGTATGTAATATACTTAATTCGTTAGCAAGTCTCGTATCAACGAAGAATAAAGATGAAGTGGTTAGTGTCCATTGCAGTGAGGAAGTGATCACTATTATTTATTGTGTGTTCCAAGAATACTGAGCACTTTGCAAATATACTGCACTGAATCAATTTACAATCTCCTCTTTGGAGAAAAAAAAAATAATAATAATAATAAAAAAAAGTAGGTACATATTTACTTTGTTAGAAGGTTCTTTGGGAATGAGGAACACAAACCACTGGTGGAGGTCTAACTTTGCTCAAACCATCTTCTGCTGAGTGCTGTACCACCTTCCAGGGTCATGTGCTTCTACCAGCGATGCTTTGTGAAGCGTGCATGGTTTTAGCATAGCTTAATTGCCACCACAACAGTGCTGTTGTGATTGCTCCAGCATACAGTCCTATCATGACTCAGTGAATGGAAATCACCCTTACACTTTATGTGGTCTTTATCTTTTTCAGTTCCTTCTGTACTTTCTCATGTGTCTGTTTTTCCCTCAAGTTTCGTTGGAGCAACCTTAAAAACTGAGAATGAAAAGTCTATGACAAAGCACTCTCCCTCTTTCTATTTTATGACCACTGTATTTGGTCTTCCTGAATATCTTCCTGAGTAGTAAAAGTCGAAAAAAATCCCATAATATTTTTACACTCTTATTACCTCCTGCTTTGCATGGACTTTGGCAGTAAGAGTATTATTATTTCCTACTTTTAGTCATGCTTCTTGCAGAGCATTTGGTGTTGGTGCTGCCAGCAGAGTCCTCTTTGACATCTGAGTCTTGGAGGCATCCACTGATAAGCAGGACCAGTCCTCTGTATCCTATGTTCTGGACACACGCCTTCCTCACCATCTGTCTTCACTGCAGCATCTCTAGTATGACGAGCTGGTTCCCTCTGCGCCTGTAAGCCGAGCTCTTAGTTGCTCTTTTGCAGTCCTCCCTTGACACCTTGCAATTCATCGTCACCGTGAGTTTTACTGAAAAGTTCACTTTTTTTAAAATCTACTTTTAAATGTGTATCTCTGGGTATTGCTTGTCCGATGGCTTACTCTGGCTAGAGGTACAGTTCTCAATCTCATGTCTGATTCAAGATCTAGTCAGTCTTGTGTTCCCTTTCTCACACATTTTGTGGTTTTATTATGCTGCTTTTGAAACAGTTTTAAAGCAGAAGAATCTCCTCTGCCATCACAACCCGATTTACACCTGACTTAATGTTTTCTACTCTAGGTGGCACTAAATGGCGCAGTTACCTTAAATTTGCCTTCAGAAAGCAGTTGCAGCACTATTGTATTTCACTATCTACGTTATAAATGCTTAACTTCATTTTCTAGAGGTTCTTCCAGTCTCTCCTAACTATTCTCCTTTAGAAACCTGGAAAATATTTCTGAAATGAGGTATTTCGATTGCTAACACTGTGTGAGTTACGTTGGAAGTCAAAGACTGGACTTGGAAGGTGACTGAGTTGGCCTTTCTTTGATGCCTTTTTTTGTCAAGGATTGTGTCGCCTTTGTTTCGGCGACCCTGACTGATGGAGACTGCCACAGCCCATTCAGTTAACTACAGGATTGTGCATCTCTATCAGTTGTTCTCATTTCTCAGCTGGTAACACAGGGCTCTGGTCTGAACTTTGGGATGTGGATTCTTTGTGTTGAATATTGTGGATGTTATTACCACATTGTCATCTCTCTGTTGTTATTATTGTGATATAATGTAGTATGAAATAATATTGACATAAAGTGTAATATCTTATGATAGCGTTGCCACTTAGAGGTGATATCCTCTGTTGTGGTCTTTCTTCCATAAGTGGCTTCACTTTGGAAGAGAGAGCAAGGTTAAAGAGCTGTGATCAAATACTATAACGTGAAACCTACGAGAAGTGGCTGAGTGTTGGCATAAGTACAACAAATCACTCATTTTTTCTTTTTCATTTAGTTTGTGCCCTAGGAACTCTCTGCTGCAGGATGAATTAGGAAAGGAAGGACTCTTTCTCTGAACCATGGACGCAAGAGCATCTTTCATCACTACCATGCAAGAGAGCCAGCATCTATCCCCAGAGAAGGGGCAGGGACTGGCCAATGGTGATGGGGAGCAATTTGATTCAGGTGAGCTCTCCTTTTCTCTTGTAGGTTTCCTACATGTCACAGCCTTCCAGATGACTGCTTTAGGGAAGGTGGCAGCTGTTCACTGGGTGGCATTAGGGTTGGATGCCTTGATGGCCATTTTTTGAGTCTTGTGGATTGGGAAAGGGTGTGTGTCCCATATTGTGGAGCGCCCAGGTGGATCCGTGATTGATAAGTTGGGGAAATTTTGACTTTTGGAGCTTTTCTAAGGTATGTTCTAACTACTTTAAATGAAAAGCAGTGGAAAACCTTTCCCAGGGCATCATATTGTGTTCTTCCTGTCCACCCACACACTCTGTATTTTATTTTACTCTCTTTTGATTAAAGAAAGGAAATGAATGTTCAGAAATTACAGTATTTCTCCTTTGTTTTGACCTTTATCTTTGTTCCTTCAGATTATTATTTTTTGTATTACTTCAGATGAGAGGGCATCACAAATGTTATCCCAGCCAGCAGAGAGCTGGTTGCATGTTGTCCTTGTGCACATGAGTATGACTGCTCTGAGATGGGCACTGAATGATAAGGATTTGCTGGGTAAAATTGGCTCAGTAACTTCACCCTTATTCCGTGTTTATTCAGGAAAGCTCAGCTGAGGAAATTGTGAAGCTCAAAGCTGAGCCACCTGTAGTTACTCTGTACAAAATGTTTCATTTTTGCCTTGTGGTAATGATGTTGTTGCTAATGTGCTTTAATGCTTTTCCAGAAATCTTGTGCATTTCTGTAACAGCAGTTCTTCATCAAAGGATCCTGAGGTGTAATGGCAAATGAAAGTCTACTCTTGCATGCAAGCATTCTAAAGGGCTGCCTGAAGTCTGCTTCCATAGAAGTAGGCCGTCTCACCAGGGGTGAATCACTGATCCAACTTCAAAAATGCAGTGGTAACAGTGTTGGGGTGAATGCTTGAAAACAGCTTGCTTTGGCTTCAGCGTCCTTTGCTTTGACTTCTATGTTCTTTGCATCTGTTCTCTCAGATGGTGCTGTGTTGTGCTGGAAGGTGTCCCTGCCTGTGTCAGGTGACTGAACTAGATGATCTTTAAGGTGCCTTTCAACCCAAACAATTCTATGATTCCACGTTGTGTTCAAGTCATTTGCAAAGCTTTATCATTGGTCCACTTCTCACTGTTTCCCACTGAGCACCCCAGAAACTGTGTGTTAAGAAACTTCGATTCATCCCACCTAAAGGAAGTGGGAAACTTTTATGTTCCCTTAGTTAAAAACATAATAGTTATCCTGGGCTCTGCTGTAGATGTGAAAAAGCTTCTCTTTCATAGGGTTTCGCATAGAGAGCTAAGGATCATCTAGAGTTAACCAGCTGAATATGGAACTGTAATGCCTTAAGACACTTGGAAAAAAAAGTCATCATAGAATATCCCAAGTTGGAAGAGACTCATAAGGATCATATAGTCCAACTCCTGGCTCCAGCTCAAGTTCTGTATCTGAAAATGTTGTCCAAATGCTTCTAGAACTCTAGCAGCTTGTGGCCGTGCCCACTGCCCTGGGGAGCTTGTTCCAGGCCTCAAATCACCCTGTCAATGAAGAACCTTTCCCAGACACTCAACCTGACCCTCCCATCACACAGTTCCATGCTGCTGTCACCATTAAAGAGACTTGCAGCTCTATAAAACAAGTCATCCCATTTTAACATCAGCACTGGGTTATCTTTGAGTTGAAAAATCACCTGGCTGGAATAGAGAGGGACATCAGGATCCTGATTGACTGTGTTAGGTGGATCCTTATCTTGAGATGGCATTTCCAGAGTGGGAAGCCTTATCTAGACACTGCTGGATCCATTTATATCTATGAGAGAGCTGTAGGAGCCTCTGGGATGAGGTGCAGGTGATCAGTTGTAGCCATTGGGTTTGAAACAACAGAAACCGGCCTGTGGACCCTAAATGTCTTTGAGAATATGTGACTTGGTGACTCTCCCAAGGCTGTGCAGGGGGCTTGTTGTTGATCAGGATTTCCCCTTTACCCCAAGCCCTCCCCTGTGTGTTAATCCTAAATCATTTTGCCTTTCAGTTCTTTGTGAGTGAACAAAGTCATGAATATATTTATGTGCCTGTAAATAAGATAGCTTAGCAATTTCCACAAATACTGTAATTTCCAAAGATGTTCTCCTTCAGGTAAGCCTGGGAAAAATCTAAGCTTCTGTAGCCACAGGTTTTGGGTCTTTTATCTCATCCTGCGAGGCTGATAACATCTGGAATAGTTGCATTTTTATAGTGTCAATGCATGAAGGACTGCAGAGCACTTTAAAGCCATTCAGGGGCTCAGAGATAATGACTTGTTGATTTTATTTGCCATCCTAGACTTGTTTATACATCACCGTATTGTAGGCTAGCCAGCCTTGACTCTTTCATTAAAAAAGAGCACTGAGCCTAAGCACCAATAATTGGAAAGGGAGCTGATATGTAAAGTAGGCCTAATGCCAAATTTGTCATCTCACAGGGAGCTCTGCAAAACACTGGCACCTGGGGCTCTGTGTCTCTCCAGCAGAGCCAGGACTTTGTTGTAGGAGTGTGTGGCTTGAGGACTGACAAACAGATTGTGTTTAGGATCATCACTTCCTGAGTGGGCACAGTTGTCTTTGTATGTTCAGAGAGACTTTGCCTTTTGATTGGGGACCAGCAGATACTCAAGGAAGGCTGGCAAAGGGTTTCCTGTGTTCCTCATCAGTAGGGGTTTTGCAATGGGCAAGAAGATTTGTGTGCAGTCCAACTGCTGTACTTGTGGATGTAAGTAAGAGTGTACCCCCTGACTCTGGGTCGCCCTGAGTCTGCCCACAATGTCCCCTTGCCAGGTTTTCTAGAAGGGAATAGAATCCATTTAAAAACAGATTTGGAAGCTTACATTCGCTTCACAATCTTTGGTGATAAAATGAAGCAAAATAAAACACTGATGCCATGATAAATGAGTACTCCAACATTATTTTTACAGACCTTGTAAAAGTAATTTCCTGATAAAGTCTGCAGATAAAACACTGGAGAGGAGTCAGACTATTGATGTGTCAGAGAGAAATGAATTGACTGGGAAGGAAAGCTGTAGCTCACACTGCTGTGGAAAGAATACTCGTAACGCTTTCCCCTGGCCTCTTGGACTTCCCTATTTGGCTTTAGAAAGGAGAGATCAGGGTCGTTATTAAAACAAGTGCTTTTGGGAGTTCTGTTGGACTGCATGTGAATGAATCTGTTGGCAAGGCTGTGGGAACAGTGTGACTGGTGGCTGTGGGTTGGCACATAGCAGAGTAGGTCGTGGGCAATAATACATTAGGAAGGAGGGGAGGGCTTGCTGCATCTTTAACTAGCATCTTTAATGCTAACGTAATTAACTTAGTGTTGCCAAATCCTGTCTCTCTGGAGATACTGCTCCTTGCATGGATGGTATGTACTGAACTGCTTAAAAGCCCTCCTACCACTCCGTGGAAATTAGGTTGCCTGCAGAGATGGTGGATTCCCCGTCCTTGGACACATTCACGGTCAGGCTGGATGGGGCTCTGAGCACCCAGATCTAGCTGTGGATGTCCCTGTTCATTGCAGGGAAGTTGGACAGATGGCCTTTAATGTCCCTTCCAACTCAAATGATTCTGTGATGTTACTCCTTCCCATAAGAATGCTGAGGAAGGATGAAGAGAAGGAGAAACGTGCATGGACTAACCATGAAAGCTGGAGCAAGAAAAAGGAATGACAGCTGAGAAGATACAGAGAGCACTGTGGGCTGAGAGAAGTGTCTCATGCTTTGAAACAGAAATAGCTGAGCAGAGGGGAAAGACGTGGGGGTATGTTCGGGTGGAGATGACCTTGGGGTTGTTGAGTAGCCCATCCCAGCACCAGAAGCACAAACAGGTAATAGAACGGGAGACAACCAGGCAGAGGGGTGTGCCTTTAGCTTTTTGCCTCTTGTTTTTCACATCAGAAGTTACTGGCTTATAGTAGGACTGTGATTGATGGTGCCTGGGATAGAAAGTTGCTTAAACATAGGAGTAATTGTAAGTCTGATGGATAGCCATATCTGCCCATATACTCATGAACTTGCATACATTTTTAAAAAAATATTAACCCTTGAAATCTCTGAACCTGACTCCTCTAAAAAATAACTCCAGGCGGTTGCTGATTTTGAGATTGAAGTTTTCCCTGATCATCAAAGTTGCTTGCTTGCATGATATAGCTGAGTCTTAGCAATTTGTGCACAAAGTTCTTACTTTTGGCTAAGCTGTCCTTGTCTTTCAGCCAAGAATGAGCAAACTCCTCATTTTGTGCCTTGAGTTCTTTTTGGTAGCCAGGAGGCAGCCGTCTTCAAGCCACCTTGCCACTTTACATGGGAGTAAGAGTTGATTTACATCTCCGCATTTAATTGAGTTGGTGGTATGGAGCCAGACGTTAGGCTTGATGCAGCGGTTTGCAGTGTTTAATGGTGATGACAGCTCAGTGCTGCTCTTTGAACTCCCAGACAAATCTTTACCCTCTTCCAACTCTGTCTCAAAAACCCTCCTCTGAGACTTTTTTTTCTTCCCCTTCGCATACATATGTCTGCAAATAAAGCCTATTTCTTCCCCTTTTAATGATGAGAGATTCCCATTACACAGTATAATTTTCGTGTCTTGAAAACTGGAGACCTGTAGCAACAATTTCAATAAATTAACCCTGCCATTTTCTTCATAAAACTATCTGGGGAGGCCCCTTAATTCAGTTTGTCATGAGTCACTTTAATTACATCATGACCATGCTGATAAATGTGTGTGCAGGTAAGGGTCTCTTGTAGTTTTCCTTGATAAATGCTTATTGCAAACAGCTCATTGCTAGACTGTAAATATTTTTGCTCTGGGGATGTAACTGAGTTTGTGAGATTGCCCGGGAACAAAATGAAAACAATCAGATGTGGCTGATTTTCTGTAAGTGAAAGACAGTTTGTTCTTAATTATTGCTGTGTGTGTTTCAGCGATGGTTTCAGGCCTCAACTCTGCTCTGCTCAGTGGGGATATATTTAAAAAAAAAAAAAAAAAAAAAAAAAAAAAAAAAGTAATGTCAACTCCTTCCCTATGGGGAAAGAAGGATTGTGAGGGGGCACTGGTGTGAGTGGGGAAGGCGTGATGCAGAGCCTCAAATCTGAATTGGGGCAAGGATAAATGCAGGCAACAAGAATGCAGCAGTGGCCTGGGGATTTGGAAAAGCAGCTTTGGTGCTGGTGGAAGGATTCCATTGGGGTTCTTGGGTGTTGGAGGGCAGAGGAAGGCTGAGCAGGGAGAAATAGAATAGCAGAGCTGAAACTGTGTCTCCTCAGCCCCAAGGGCTGGGTTGCTTGTTTTTCATGCTGCTCAGCCAACAAGAACAACATCCATTGTTATCACCAGTACACTGTTGCAATTAGCAGTCTGGGGGAACCCAAGGCTGGGACATGGGAATGGCCACTGTATCCCTGTGATAGCGGGCTGACAACCAGCTCTTGTAGCACAGTCCCTGTTGCAGTATAATGAGTTTGTTCCCCTGTTGTGATGATTGCAGGGTCAATTTTGGTCTCACAGTGTTGGCTGATAAAGTCCCAAAATCTGCTGAAAGTGTTTTAAGAGCCAGTCAAGCTGGCTAAGAACAGATCTTCAGGGAGGCTTTTTCTCTCACATTGATGTTTGTATCAGTTGCTATTTTTCCCCTGAACTGTTTGATACAGCTTTTGCCTTCTTTGGCTGCATTTTGGGCTGTTTTCCTTTCTTTCTACTACTTTTTTTTTTTTTTCTTGTTTTCCTTTTGAACAGATGAGGGCTCCAGCATTGAGGATGCAGACTTCAACTGGGATGAGTTCCTGGAGGAAACAGGAGCCAGTGCTGCTCCCCACACCTCCTTCAAACATGTATGTGCATTGTCTGCCTTGCTAGTATTGAATGTGTTCCCTCTTATGGTGTTCCTGACCAGATGAAATGGAATCTGTCCGTTCTGTGGGGAGTTTGGCCTTCTGTGGCAATGTATGTGAAAATAAGATGGAGTACTTCCTGTTGTCCATGCAGCTCCAGGCCCTCTTGCTGCTGTTAGGTGACATCAACTCTGTGCACTCAGAGTACAGTGTCTATGCCACTGGGTTCAAATATCATCTATGCGGTTTCATTCTGCTCTCCTCACATACTCATCTTTTTTTTTTTTTTTTTTTTCCTTCTTAATTTGTTGATATCCTTTCCAACTTGTAGAGATTCATCTCACCAGAGCATCTTATTTCTATGAAGGTGCTCTCTCAGTGCATGATTTGCTGACTAGCAGGGTTGCTCACCACCAGAACCCAGCATGGTCCCTAGGAATCCATCAACCCCCTTCCTAAACATCCTGCCTCAGCAATGTGGGAACCAAACAGTGGGGTTGGTGATAACTTTCCTGGGTGCTATGTTATATGCAGATGTTAAAGAGGCGTATATGTGTCACAGTAGTTAGGACGTGGTAGCTCCAGCCCATGTTAGCAGTAGTATACAGAGCCTCTGAAATTCTGAATGATGGAGAAGATCGGAGTATGCTTTGAGGAGGGATCCTGCCAAGGAGCAGAGCCTGTCAAGGATATTGTATGGACCCATTTTTCCATCTGCAAACAGTTGTTTAATGTCTTTTATTTGGCCCATGTGTGTGCTGTCCATAGTCTGCCTTTACAAGAGGACTTGAGATGGAGCTTAAACTAGTGCACAGATTCTTCATCATCATCAAAGACATACACGTATGGTGTAATCGATATATTTTTCCAGGTCCTTGTTTTCAGTCAGCTGAAGAATTGTTCTTTCAGATGTTATGGTGCATTTACCTGTATCAAGCTATGCCCAATCATGGTGGTTCTCTGTCCTCAACTGTGAGTCATGTGCAGATGATTCTGTTCATCCCCTGACCTGGCCCATCAGCTGCAGATAGCAGCTACATCTGGTAATAGGACTCACCAGCCCCTTTTCTCTCATCTTCATTCACCTGACCTGAATGCTCTGGATGATGTGGATATCTCAATCAGGAAGAGAAGTGTTTCACATGTGATGCTCTCATTTGCCTTCCATTGAGTCTGGTTGCTGACAGAAATCCTTGGGAACATATAGCTGTACCGCAGTGAAGGGAAAGTTTCCTGAAGAATTTGTTGCTGCTTTGAGATAAGTCTCCATTTGGATAGCTGCCTTCATGCCATTAAACCACCTTTGCCTCCAGGTGATTTCTTGATTTGTTTTAAGGAGATAAAGAGCAGTAGTGATGAAAAACCTGTCTCTACAACTGGATAAAATAAATAATACCAGCCTCCGTTACCTATTCTATGCACATAGATAGAGTATTGCAAGATGAAGGATCCTAATTTTCTGTACTGGAGAACTACAGTACAGTGGTAAAATTTTGTTGTAGTTTATCCTTGGCCCAGTAGCTGTCTGGAAAGAACATCTTGTCCCAGGGTGTTAACTCTGGTTCTTGTCTCAAGTAGAGAATCCTGCTGGGAGCTGTGTGCTTCACAAAGTCCTTCTATTCCCCCTCTTCATGATTTTCATTTAAAGTCTCTTGCCTCAAGTGTTCCACTTTGGTCTTTATTCATGGTGAGAGCAAGAACAGAAGCTACAAATGATCATGTATCCTGGATTATTCATGAGGACCCTTAGCATCACAAAAGCCAAGATCCTATTTTAGGACTAAACTAGTAAACGTTGTGGTTTTTCCTCCATCTTAAATGATCTCCAGAGGTCTCTTCCAATCTCTGTTAGTCACAGTCCCAGCATTGATGCTGATGGAAGTGCCTGCGTATCTGAAAGTATGTGGAGTGTTGTAATCTGCAAATAACATATGGCTTTGGCTGGACACTGCTCACGTTGTAAGCCGGAGTGGGGTAAGGGAGAACTGGGCATACCCAAAGAGCTCTGTTTTTTCCCAGCAACTTGGCATTGTGAAGTTGGCCACATAGACCATGATATATCACAGCGAGCAGAGGAGGCGTTTTATTGCTTCTCTGTAAGTGAGAACTAAATCAGAGACAACCTTAAACCAGATTTCAAAATCTCTCTGGCTTCAGTAGGACACAAAGTACATGGAAACCTTTAAGAATCTCTCCTTAAAATTACATGGGGAGTCATGGCTGCATTTTGGATGGTCTTCTGAAGACAAAGCTGTACTCTGAATGGGCTGGCATTCACCTCTTGTTATCAACAGTATCTAGACACATCCCGCTGGCCCTTGGGAGATGTGTTATGATGTGTCTGCAACAGTCTCTGCAGTGTCCTAGAAGAGCATGGCATCTCCAGTGTCCTTGAACAAGTTGCTTGTGACTTTCTGAGATAAAAACAAGTGACTCCTCCATCAGATTGCAGAACAGTGACCCAAGGCCTTTATTTCTCTCTGCCATGTATCCTACATCATCTTTATGAGAATACCAGGAGAGCAAATTGGTTATGCCTTAAAATTCTGCTTGTGGATATGGTGGAAATACTCTCCTTGGTCTGCTTGGTACAATATTCAGCCTTCGGTGCTTTACAAGCCTCAAGAGGTGTACAAGTATTGTTGTATGACCAATTGTAATAGCTGGGCCTAACTCCCAGAGTGCCTTCCTGTTCTACCTTGCATGTGTCCTGGGATGTCCATGTGCCTGATGGAGCTGTGTGAAGGGCAGTTACACCACCTTTCTCCTGGGCATTGTTGAGATTTATGAAGCTCAGATGGCTACAGTCCCTCTCAGATTTAGTTCACCTGAGTTTATCACAGCTGATGGATCCCTTTGGAGTACATGGGACCTTGTATGATGGGGATGTACTAGTGAAGTAGGAATGGTCCTGCACAGGCAGGTTGTGAGGAAGGTGGTTGGTATTAATAGCAGAATATTTTGGGTTAGAAGGGATGTTAAGTGTCATCCAGTTCCAACCCCTGCCATGGGTTGGTTGCCATCCACAATGCCCCATCCAATCTGGTCTTGAATGCCTCCAGGGATGGGGCATCTATAGCTTCTGTGAGGAACCTGTTCTAGTGCCTTATCACACTCTAAGTAAAGAATTTCTTCCTAACATCTGAAGTAAATCTCCCTCCTTTTAGCTTAAGTCTGTACCTCCTTGTATTATTGCTATTAAGGAGCATGGTCAGCTAACGTCTTATTCCTGATCATCTCTTTAATGGCTTGCTTAGTTAAATGGGGAACCTCCCTGTAAAGAAGGAAAAGTAACACTATGCCTTTCTCATTTTGTAAGGTTGAAATCAGCCTCCAAAGCAGTTTTCAGCCAGGGATGAAATTGGAAGTGGCCAACAAGAGTAATCCAGACACATACTGGGTGGCTACAATCATCACAACCTGCGGACAACTCTTACTGCTTCGTTACTGTGGCTATGGGGATGACCGGAGGGCAGATTTTTGGTGTGATGTAATGACAGCAGACCTTCACCCTGTTGGCTGGTGTACGCAGAACAACAAGGTCCTGATGCCTCCAGATGGTAAGTTGCACGTGTTTTGCTGGAGTCATGCCCTAGTCTTGGTCTGACTGTTAATCTCTAGGCTTTCAGTTGGTACGGAATGAATACTCCAGATGCTCAGCTGATGTTGAGTGGTGCAGTTTCACTGAAGTTGTTGTATAACAGCTTAGAGTCAGGTTTCTGTAGATCTATGGGTTATTCAATTTGCCAGTCATTCTCCAGGAAAGGCATTTTGACCTAGGTCTTAAGAACAAAAGCTTATGGATGAGGCTGTCTTAAGGAAATGCTGAATTGCCAGCCTGTGACTTCCAGTGAGGGGAAGCAAGTTGTTTCACACTTTTCGAAAGAAAGGACCAAATTTAGAGTGAGAAAAGAGTAAACAAAATCTGATCTTGATTACACTCAAATTTAACTTGGCTGTGTATTCAGATGCTTTGCTCTCCATTGTCAGACTTCTGCAGCTTTTAATTCCAAAAGTAGACCCACATGAATAAAGATGGGAAAATCTGATCATTATAGGTTAGGGTATGTACCAGTCCTCAGCTCTTGGGTGTGCCAAAGCGGAATGTGAGAACTGTAGATTTATGGCACTTGGAATAGCTTTTTAATAACATGTTTCTTCCTCAATTGATTCCGAGTGTGTAAGGAAAATGCTTGATTTTTGTTGTTTTTTTTTTGTTGTTGTTGTTGGTGTTCTTTTTTTCTGTCATTATACAGGAACAGAACAGCTGTGCATCCTTACCTCTGCGTAGCTCCAGGCAGAGGCACACTTGTCACATGTGTATTCCCTCTATATATTCAGTTTCTTTTGGGTCATGGGAAGAAGAGATGAATGCTTGGCCTCCAGCACATGGATGTGTTTGAGAAAAGTCTCATTTAAGAACTCATTCTTTTGTTCACGTGGCTGCTGAAGAAGCGGATGTGCTTTTTGTGTGCCATGCATGACTTCTGGTGTAGATGTTGCCTTGCTTCCCACTAGACTGGATCGTAGATACAGTCTTTGAAACAGCAGAAATGGTCTCATTCTTGCCTTGTCTATGCTGAACACTAGAGTTAAACAGTGATGTTTTTGTTCTGGTCTGACTGTCTTTAGAACAACGGAGGATTGATTGCTTAAAAAAGTCTTAAAGACAAATATGGCTGAGAAATCTGTTGGCTTAGGAATAATACATCAAGCTGATGTGAGAAGGGTTATTTTTTTTTTCTTATTTTATTGGTCTCTTAAACTATCTTTTATTATGTGGATTATAATCAATGTTACTGGAAAAGGTGTACAGTGCCATAAACTAAATCTCAAAAAGCCAGGTTCAAGGGGTGAAAGATTTCGTCGACTGGTGTAATAGAAAATAATGATTGTTTTATAGCTGGAGGCAACTGCTTTTCATGAAAATGTTGCTGGAATCTGCTCTTTGGTTTGTGTTTACTTCACGTAAGCTGTCTTGCTTGAGTGAATGCAAATGTGCAATGCATTTTTTCTCCTCTGTCCAGGTGATATGGTTGTATGCCAAACTCTTATGTCTGGGCAACTGTAGGTACTGTTTTATTGGACATGTGGTTGTTTTTTGTTTGGTTGGTTTTTTATTTCCTTTCTCTGTTGTAAGATATAAGCATTTAAAAGGTTGAGTTGTATTTTGGAATGAGACATCTAAAATGCCCAGGAGCATTTGAGCCTTCGGAACTTCTCTTTGTTGAAAAGAGAGAGGTCCTAAATGCATTTATAAACCACAGAACTATTCTGGGGGTTGATCTGAGGTGTTCAGCCCACGATCAGGGTGGGATTTTAAGAGGTGGTTGCTCCCATGAGGGCACTACAAGGAAGAGGTTGGGTTTTCAGGAGTGCTGTAGGAAGAACTTGGCTCTGATGAGCTTTTGAAAGCAGTGAGTAGTGCCCTCATTGTATGCAAATATCTGAAGTTCATCCTGTGTTTAATTGTTTTCTCAGTCTTGATGAGCTGAACTTCACAGCGGTCCTAAGAGTTTCATCTGGTGAAACCTGCAGGATCAAACCTTGTATTGGTACATAGTAAACTGTTCTCTGTGAACTCCAAGGAGATTTTTTGCCATTTTAGCTTTTCACACTATTTTGTTGTCAAGTGCTCTGTGGAAAGGAAAGCCCACTCCAAGTTGCATGGATTCATTTTCTAAGGGCCCGATTCTGCACGTATGGATCACAGTGAGGATATCTGCTGGCAAGATCTGCTGGCAAACAGCATGGCCAGTTATCTGTCATTAAGATTCGTTCCCTGTCAGGATCTGAGGGCTCTGTTTAAATGCAGATCTGCTAAGGACTGGCTTAGTGGGCAGAATACCAGCAGTGGGACAATGCTTTGTTTCTGCTTAGTAATCAGATAGGACTGATTGGCTCTACTCTTGCAAATGTGATCCCAGGCAATGCTGTACAGAGTGATAGGATGAAGAATATCATTAAATGAAAGAGAGATGAAAAATGGGGCTGGTTCTGTTTACCGAATCAATAGAGCTTGATTTAATGTTCAGCACATAGAGAGATTTTAAGGGGCAGCTGCCAAATAGTTATTGCTTATGATCCCAATAGAAGGAAGTCATTTAGTTTACAGACTGTTGCATTATTATTTACTGGGTTAGTTTTGCATCGTGGTGCCTGCAAGTATAATGTCAAGTCATGTCATGTCTTCCCCTGACGTTGTGGTGCACTGCTCTGGACTGAGGGCCAAATGCTCCAGTTTGCAGTAAGTTGTATTGACATATGAAAGGATGGTGTGAGTGTGTGTCTGCCCATAATCTTTACCCTCTGCCACCCTCTTCCCTTCAGGAAATCAGAGGAGTAAAATTGTAGTTACTTCAAGCTTTGCCATTAATTATATTTTCCTCATTACAAATCGGTGTGTAATTTGAATTGCAAACTCAAATATCCTGGCAGAATAGATCTGTTTACCATTCAAAGCAAAATGAAAATTATTTAAATTAGTTAATATAGAACTCATTTGAATGAATTGAATGTTTATTCATGAACTAGCTGAGGCAAGTGTGAAGCTGTCCGTATGGTCTCTAGCTTTGGCACTGATCAGCTCTAAAGTCACGTCCTGGGACAGAAATTTCTTCTTTATTGCATATTAACTGTGGTGTAGACCAATGGATAGCTTCTGCCTGATTGAGCTGAGTATGAAATTTACATCCTTTCTGCCAGGGCCCCCCAGCAACTGTAAAATTCATATGGGGAAGTAGTTCGTAAGGGGAGGTGCTTCAGAGTTCATCAACAGTGGCTGGGATGGAGCAACAGAATGGCATTTAGCTTTTGTGCTGTAGTTGTGGGATGTAACATAGGCCTTCCATTCTTTGGTTAAATCTGCCCTATTATATTGCCGTGCATGAAGGCAGGGATAGCCTTCATCACCTCATATACCTCACCAAATGCTATCCTCCTCAGCACAAAGCTGTGGTGGTTGTTCTTCAGCATCTTTCATCCTGTAAGATCTCTTACTCATAAAGCATTAAAAATTTAAGTCTAACTTAACTTTGCCATAGTTGTGTTTCCCTTAACTGTGAAAGGAAAATAGGTTTCTCGCCTCCTTTAGCCTGTTTTTTCCATGTGCTGTTTTCCTTTGTTGATGACAGTTGGGTTCATGAGCACATTTACCATCATGTAGAGGAGCAGCGTGGAGAACCTGACAAAGATAGTAGCTAAATTATGCATTGTGAAACACGCACAGAGCAGGCACGTCTTTTGATTGACACTTGGGTGGTTTTGTACAGATTGCAGGTTTACAGCTGAGCCAACAGAGCTGAATCTCTCCTGGCACTGTCTTAAGGCATTCTGTGATGCACTAGAGATGCTGGACAACAAGATGATTGTGTCACCTGTGATTGTGGCAGTGCTTTTGCTTCAGTGTTATTGACAGATGGAAATTCAAATAAAACATTTCTGAGCGTGGATTTGTGTGGTGATCTTGAGTCTGCTCTCAGTGTAAACCAGGAGGAGGAAGAGGCTGGAGATCTAAAGGAATAGAGGAACACAGTGGGGAGACAACCAGGTCTGTGCTCTGGTTTTACCATGAGCCAGTACAGATGGGAAACCTCAAAACACTGTCTGGCCATGGATTTGGTGATCACAGTGATCGTTATACTGTGAGTACGTGTAGGAAAGCAGCCTTTGTAGAATCATTAAGGTGGGAAAATACCGCTAAGATCATCCAGTTCAACCATCGACCCACCCCCACCATACCCACTAACCACGTCCCTCAGTGCCACATCTCCAATTTCTTAAACACCTCCATGGCTGGTGACTCCACCACCTCCCTGCACAGCCTCACCACTGTGCCAATGCCTCACCACTCCTGAGAATAAATTTTTCCTAATGTCCAGTGTGAACCTCCTCTCGTGCAACTTAAGGCCTTTCCTTTCGTCCTATCACTGTTAATCTGGGAGAAGAGGCTGGCCCCCACTTCATCACAACTTCCTTTCAGGTAGTGTAACCAGAATTAAAGCTCCGAAGCCTGATCCTAGGATGTAATGAATCCCTCTTGCAAGGTGCTGAGCTTGGCAGGTAAAATATGCCACTAAGAGTGTTGAGTATAAAGCATTTTGCCCATCCAGGCTTTCTGTGAAAGCAACCATCACCAAATGGTTCACTCAGATTCTGAAGTAGTGGGTAGAGTGTGGGTGAAAAAAAAAGATAAAAACTTGTGCCACGGTAAACTAGGCTGCCATTCAAATCATAGAATGCCTTGGGTTGGAAGGGACCTGAAAGATCATCCTGTTCTGACTCCCCCACTGCTGGCAGGGTTAATGGCAGTTGTATTCCCATCTAGATTGGCATTTCTCTGACATGTAGTCTGTGATTTTTGTTAGAGTTCAGGTGGTGGATATAAATGTTAGAACAGAGGCGAGGTCTGCACTGTAGTGGAAAAGAATGGAATTGAAGCAGTATATGGTGCAGGGTGTGGGGATAGGAACAGCAAGGGGGAAATGGTGAGGAAAGAAAAGAAGAGCAAGCTTGGAGCAGTCATTTGGGTTTGGGATTTGGGATAAATGTCATTCAAGAA